GGGGACACTCTCCAAGCGCCAGCCCATTTCCCAGGCCGTGGGGCAGGCAGCCCAGCACCCCGGAAGTCAGCAGGACAGAGTGAAGTGGATTAACTGAGTGATGAGCAGACTCGTTAGTTCTGATCAGAGAAAGAAGACGCTAGTGACCCCAGAGCCACAAGTGCCAGGCGAGGCTCGGACCCGGCCATTCATTCATTCAACAGTCGTCAGTGGATGCCTCCAAGGTCGTGGGCACCCGTCTAGGTCCTGGGGACCAGGCAGAAGGAGCCCCCTGCGCCCGGCACTGACGTTCCTAAGGGGGCAAGTGGGCAACAGAAATAGAAATAAGGGCCGTAGAGGCTGAACCGTAGGTGAGGTGGTGAAACAGGTCAGGTCTGGGGGCAGGTGGGGGCCGGACCCAGGGAAGGCCTGAGGTGACCTTGAGCATGGACTTCCGGGGGCGAGGGGCTCAGGTGGGGGTCCGGGGTGGGGAGTGCAGAGAGAGGTGATGGGGGCCGAGGGGGCTCCTGAGATTAGAGCGGGCCTGGCTTCTCCTGTCTGGTTGGGCCATGTGACAGGTGATGCCAGAGGTTGAGAGACCCAACCCCCCCACCCCCCAGTGGGTCGGGACAGGTGTTGGCAGGTGAAAACAGCTAACCCAGCCCTGGGCGACCTCCGGGCTGTGCGGGTGGGTGGGACAGGGTCTGTCCTCTGTCCTGGGGCGGGGCTGGGCTCCCACTGACCCCGACCCCGACGTCAGGAGTGTGAGCTTGTGTGAGGACTGGAGCTCGGCAGGGCAGCCAGCTCTCTCCCAGGGCCCGGGCACATTTCTGGGTCAGGGCTCTGTGTGCCAGCAACAGAGGCATGCACACGCGCACACACACGTACACCCAGGAGCACATGCAGCCCTTGGTCCGCTGTCCCTACCTGACCGGAGCAGCACACCCTCTCCTGCACACAGCAGCAGCCCTGGGTGTCTTCCACCGCTGCTCACCGCCCGGCTGTCACCGCCTGGCTGGCTGGAGGAGGCGTCCCTTCTGTAGTGACAGGGTGGGGAGACGGCGGGAACTGCACGCCAGCCAGGTGACTCCTGGAGCTGCCCTGCTGGGGCCCATCGTGGCCTGTGTGGTCACCACTGCATAAGTCCCAGTAATTCTCGCCTCCCCCTTGACTCTTGGGCTCCAGGCAGGAACAGTAGGCAGGGAGCCCAGTGGCCCAAGCCACCTCCCAGAGCATGTCCCTGATGCACCCAGGCCCACAGCTTCTCAGCACAAGAACCCCAGGCAGGCTCCGCTGCAGAAGCCCCTTGACAAGCCTGGGAGCTGGGCCTCTGGGTCCCGCGTGCCCACTGCAAGCTGTAAGCAGAGCCACCCTGGACCAGCCCCGGCCAGAGAACAAGCTTGGAGGGGACTCCCTCCAGAAGGGACGGCCACCAGGGCCAGCAGGCCAGTCCTGCCCCACCCCCGGCACTCAGACTCTGGCCCGGAGAGAGAGAGGAAATCCCTCAGGCACAGGCCGGCTGTGGCCTTGGGATGGAGAGAGGGGCTGAGCATCCGCCAGCCTCAGGCAGGGCCTCGGGAGCTCCACACCCCGTCCTCCGGGCCCTGGCGTCCCAGACTGGGTGGACGCCGCCCCCGGCCTTGGTCTTGGGGCTTCTCAGCTGTGCGCTTTCCCCGTAGAGACTTGCAATGAGGAAGCCCGAGGGCCCGGTGGGGATGGTGGAGATTGCAGGCCGCGCAGGGCGGGAGCACCGAGGCTTCCTGGAGGGAGGGCTGCTCCTACTGCTGCTTCTGGTGACGGGTGCCCTGGTCGCCCTGGGCCTCCTCTATGCCAACAGAAGAGGTGAGTGAGGGCGCCCCTCCCCTCGGGCCCGACACGCTGCTCACCGCCTCTTCCCCACGCGGCCTCGGCAACGTCTGTGTGCCCGCCCACCTGGATAAGCCAGCCATCGAGCGGGCAGGTGGGGTCTGCTCGGGGCACCAGGGGCTGCCAGGCTGTGCTGCAGCCTGGAGAGAAGGGGCACTGACCTGCGGGGGCCGGGGCCCTTCCAGAAGGCTCTGCCCAGGCGCCGGCCGGCACAAGGCTGGTTCTGCTGGATCTGGTCTGGCGGGGGCCCTGCGGGACTCCTGAGATGCGGCAGAGCGGGTCCCCACGCTGCATCTGCGCGGCACCCCCCCTCCCCTGCCGCACAGGGAGCTGCAGTTCCCGGCCTGCCCAGCAGCAGGAGCCCGCGCTCCAGCGCTGGGGACCCGCGGCACAGCATCCCTCCAGCCAGCGGGGCTCACCTGCCGCCTCCTGGGCAGCCATCCTGCAGAGAACCTGCTGGGATCCCCCTCGCGGCCTCCTGAAGGCCTGGGTCCCTTGCGGCAGAGCGGTTCCCCACGCTGCATCTGCGCGGCACCCCCCCTCCCCTGCCGCACAGGGAGCTGCAGTTCCCGGCCTGCCCAGCAGCAGGAGCCCGCGCTCCAGCGCTGGGGACCCGCGGCACAGCATCCCTCCAGCCAGCGGGGCTCACCTGCCGCCTCCTGGGCAGCCATCCTGCAGAGAACCTGCTGGGATCCCCCTCGCGGCCTCCTGAAGGCCTGGGTCCCTGGGGCCTCGTGGCTTCCCAGGCCCTGCTTTTTGCACAGTGATGGGTGGGGGCCAGGCCGGGGTCTTAGGGAGATGGGGATGCCAGGGCCACCCTGCAGGAACACCCCCACTCACAGTCCCTCCCCGTCTTCCCAAGGCCAACGTAGAGGAGCCTGGACTGTTCCCCCCTTGCGTCCGAAAGCACTGCGGGAGCCGGGGGAAGTGCTCGCCTGCCTGCACCTGGGCACCAGGTGGCCTGGGTCAAATGCCTTACTCCCGGCAGGCACAGCCTCGGGCACAGCTGGGAGGTGCAGTTGGTTCCTCCTGCAGGTAGGTGGGTGGACGGGTGGGCTCAGGACTCAGGAGGATCTGCAGGAGAAGCCCTCCCCACGGCCCCAACAGTAGGGCAGCACAGGCTTTGTTACTAGAATATTCCCTCACTGGCCAGAGCCACCTGCACTGTGGTGGGACCATCCATCCATCACTGGGCAAGGCTGTTTCTGAGAACCAGACGCGGGTGCTGCCTACAGATGTGGTGGGCGGCCCCTGCCCAGGGCTGCTCCCGCCTGACCAGGTGCCTGGCCGGACCCTGCCAGCCGCTGCCGTCTCTGGCCCCTCCGGGTCTCCTGGCAGAGTCGATGGACACTTCATCTCCATGGGCACGGGCCGTGGGGAGGGACCGCTCACTGCTCGGAGAGCCCTGGAGAGCCCAGACCCCAGGGAACCTCTGTTCAGGACTACTGGGCTGCAAACACCTGGTTGAGAGGCTTCCAGGGGACAGGGCTGACCCCCCACCCCACCCCAGTCCTCGTCTAGGTGGTACCAGCCTGACAGCAGGGACCCTCCCTGCCCAGCCTGCCTCCTCCTCGTGGTCCCCTAAATACAAGTGGGGTCTCTGCCAGGGCCCCTCAGACAGGACTCTGTGCCCCTACCCGCCCGAAATGACGCAAGCCGATCTCGGCCTCAGGTCCTGATGGAGCCCATGGAAGAGTTTAAATGCTGCATTATTATTTATTTCTAAAGACTTTCTCATCCACTATGGTTTTGTGGGGTTTTTTCATTGATTTATGAGTTATTTAGAAATCTCTCTTTTTAAAATTTCTAGATGCTTGGAGACTTTTTCTTAGTTACCTTTTTAAATTGGTTTCTAATTTAATTGCATTATTATCAGCAACCGTGGTTTATGTGATATTGATTCTTTGGTATTTGTTGAGGCTTGCTTTAGGGCTAATACAGGGTCAGTTTTATAAATAATCCACGTGTGCATGTGCAGTACACACAACCACCCTTAAGTGAAAGTGGAGATACAGACAGAGGTTTAGATGCATCCATTAGGTCAATCAAATCGTCTATATGTTTGTTTCTTTCCATTTTCTTGACCTTTCAATTATTGAAAGATGTGTGTGCTAAAACCTTGCCCTAGAGAACTATCAGTCTTCTTTGTGGTTATGCCAAGTATTAATTTGTGTATTTTAAGGTTAAACTATGGGAATTCCCTGGCTGTCCAGTTGTTAGGACTCTGTGCTCTCACTGCCGAGGACGCGGCCAAAAAAAAAAAAAAAAAGCCACATTATTATGTGGATGCAAATTTAGAATCAGTGTATCTTCACTCTGTATGATTATGTAGCGCCCTTTCTATCTTAACAGTGCCTTTTGCCTTAATATGTTTTGTTTTAAATTCTGTTTTGTCTGATATGAATTGGCATTTGTTCTCTATTTTTTCCATCCCTTTTCTTCGAGACTTTGTCTCTTTAGCTTTAGGTGTGTCTTTTGGAACCGTGTACAGCTGGATTTTGTCTCCATCTTGTACCCGGAGGATTTAGTCTATGTGTATTCACACAGAAATGTACGATTTTTTTCTGTTGTGTTCTTTTGTGTTTCTGATGCCTCTTCTTTCTCTTTCCTTGCCTTCTTTTGGATTGATCTATTATTTTTCACTCTGTTTTCCTGCAACTATCTTGAAAGTTTTATATTTCTAATCCTTTTAATGGTTACCTTAGTTTTTTGTTTTAATATTTATTTCAAAAGTTATAGATAAACCTTTTTCAGAAAATTGAGTGTTTTTTTAATAAAACTTTGAGTGGGACATACAACCCTACACCCACAATCCTGCCTCCTGGAATTCTGCTCCTCAGAAAGAGCCATACTCATTGTCTAGTGCAGAGGTCTGCAAACTATGGCCTGTGGGCCAAATCTGGCCCACTGCCTGTTTTTGTAAATAAAGCTTTATTGGAACACAGCTGTGTCTACTCACTTATGTATTGTCCGTGGATGTTTTCAGGCTACAAGCGCTAAGTTGAATAGGTGAGACAGAGTCTGTATATGGCTCACAAAGGCTAAAACATATATCGTCTGGCGTTTTACAGAAAAATATTGCCAACCCCTGGACTGGAGTGTCTAAGCCTCATCTGTGGACACTTCTCTCTTTATTGTCAGTGTTAGATCACAGGGAGGCATCGTAAGGTTGTGGTTAATACCCAGACTCCTAAATCTGACAGCCTGGTTGGGCTTGCCAGACCCCCAGATCCCAGCTGTGTGACCTTGGAACGTTTTCTTCACACCTCTGTGCCTCAGTTTCCTTATCTGTAAAATGGAACATAACATAGAGGCTTACTGGAGGGTTCAATGATTTAATACATCAATAACACTTAGAAAAATGTCTGTCATGCTATTTATGATCAGATTTAATAATAAAATATTAGATTTGTCATTGATTCCCTATCCATATTGTTATTGACATCCCGAATGGGCGGCAGATTTAGTTCCTTAAGCCACCCATGCTTCCACTGTCCCGGTATAGGTACATCATTGCTTTTGGATAAATCCATATGCGTCATTACAATAGTTCTACTGAGTATTTTTCACAGCTGAGCTATGAAGAATAGTTGGTTACATTTCCTTTCCTTGTTATTATTTTGTTTTCTTATCATTAATAGATATCTTGTTTAAGGAGTTTCATTTCTCTCCTACCCCTTTCTCTCTCTCTCTCTGTCTCTCTCTCTTTCTCTCTTCTCTCTCTCTCTCTCTCAGACTCTGTATACATATCTGTGGGATGGTTTGATATTACCCCAAAGTATTTGGGTGCCCTGTTCAGATTTTGTTCATTCTTTTACTCTTTGTGATACAGTTTGAAGAGTTTGACCCTAATTAGTCTTCAGTTCCACTGGTTCTTTCCTCAGCTGTATCCAGTGTGCTGGTCAGCCAGTCAAAGGAATTCTTCATCTCTAATAACATGCTTTTTCTTTCTGAGATTTCCATTTCCCTCTTTTTTATAGTTTCCATCTCTTTGTTGAAATTTCTTGTCTGTTCATGCATGTTATCCACCTTTTCCATTAGATGGAAACATATTAACATGTGAACCATAGTTATTTTGCAGTCCTTCTCTGATAATGCCAATATCTGAGCTATCTCTGAGTCTAGTTCTATTGATTACTTTATCTAATGGCAATGGATTGTTTTTTCTTGCCTCTGTGTGTGTGTGTGTGTGTCTCATACATTTTTACTGAATGTTAAACATCCAGAGAAAGAGCAGAGACTGAGGTAAACAGCATTTGCACCCAGAGACAAGCACAGTTGTTCTGTCAGTCTGTTAGGGTGAGAGATTGAATCCATCTAGTCAGGAGTCAGCTGATTCAGGGTTTTGTTTTCACTTTTGTCACCCTCGGTGCCCCACAGACTTCACCTTTCCCTGGCTGTGAGCAATGATTACCTGTGCTTAGAAAAATGGGCCTGCGGGGGCCAGAGGTTCCCCATTGTTCCTGCTCCAGCCTCAGCTCTCAGCAGTCCCTGGATGTGTGCAACACAGAGGGGTTCTCCATGCCTCTGCCCCTCCACAGATGGTAGGTTGCCCTTGCTTTTTATTGCTTCGCTCATGCTGGGGTGGGGGATCTCTGGTGTCTTGGCCCCGTCTCCGTCTTGCAGTGGGGGTGTCTCAGTATCCCTGCCCCGATCCCCATGTCCATCAAACTTTGCCTTATGCCTAAGTCCCCTGCCCCTCTCCTAGTGGCAGCAGACCTCAGCTTCATGTCGGTCTAGCACCCTGGGCTCACAGGGGTCTCCTGTGCCTCTCCCATGAGCAGAGGATTTTTTTTTTTTTGTGGCCTCTCCCGTTGTGGAGCACAGGCTCCGGACGCGCAGGCTCAGCGTCCATGGCTCACGGGCCCAGCGTCTCCGCGGCACGTGGGATCCTCCCGGGCCGGGGCGCGAACCCGCGTCCCCCGCGTCGGCAGGCGGGCTCGCAGCCGCTGCGCCCCCAGGGAGCCCGAGCAGAG